CCGCGAAAATCGGGAGGGTTGACAAGTATGACTCCCACGTTACGTTTGTTATGAACGTATCTTAAAGGCGTTTATTTTCTACATATCTTTGCCATTTATTCAACCGTAACCCTAACCATAACCCAATAAGCTGCTGTGTCGTTTATTGCACCGCAAACATTAAAACTGTCATTGGAACGGCGATCAAGCCTGAAGCCACAGAGCTTTGTTTTAATGTTTGAGGTGCTATATCAGCGTATCATATGCACGCAAAATCGGACTTCTACGTATCTATTGCACGCCTTTGCAAAGTCGTGTCATTTGTACGCAGACTGTGAGAGTGTGTTGGTTAAAAGACAGTTAAGAAAAAGAGTTTTGACTGTGTTTTTTTGCCTCAAACCTCTTCAGCTTTTACTCTTTTCTCAACAGCACTATTGTGGATCTGCGGCTGAACGAGAACAAGATTCGGTCGGTGCATTATTCCTCACTCAGCCGCTTTGGAAACCTCACCTATCTGAACCTCACCAAGAACGATATCAGCTACGTGGAAGACGGAGCTTTCTCAGGACAATTCAACCTGCAGGTAATCATCATGTAATGCACCTGTACCCAAATCGAGGAGAGTGCACGGGCTGTGTTCCGGTCGATGTTGAAGTATACTTTACTCTTCGACTACAATACATTTCAGGGGAATATTTTTACCCATTTACATGTATTTGAGAATTATAGTGTTGGGATATGGATAAGTATAGATCATGTTTTACACATAAAAGATTTGACCAGTACAAAACATAATCCACTATCAGAGATCTAACCAATCGGCTGTATGTAAAGGAATTCAAATGTGCTGTTGAATGTTAAAATGCATACACATGAATGCAAATGAAGGCTACAAATCTTAATATTTAATAGACTGAACTGTATTTATTATTATTGCTTGGTATCATTTTTGGTACCGACCTGTACAGTTTTGAAGTCTGTCAAATGGCTGCTAAGCTCCTAATCTTGTTTAATTACCCTTGAACCCTTTGACGCTTTATTTGGTAAATGTAATTGTGTGACTAATTAATTACACTTTCCATATTTAGGAACTTGCTTCCTTTTGGTAAATGAAAAAAAATAACGAATTCGCAATCATTACTTTGTATAAGGTTATAAAAAAAATAACTTTTTGGTACTGGTAGTTTAAAAATCTAAATGTATTTCATATTGAGGACTATTTTGCTGATTATATCCAGAACTGTGAATTAAGGACTGTAGTCAAAGGGAGTGTTTGGACACTGTGTTACTGCTACCTTTCTGAGTAAAGGACCTAAAGTATTGCAGAATGGAAACACAGACACACAAAAAAGACAACATTGGCTCACTATAGCTTCCAGAAACATTCAGGCAAAAGTGTTTTTGCAGAAACTGATCTGAACGCAGCCGTAATGAGCTGGCATGCGTACACATGTATCCCAGCTGCTGGAGCGTAGCCAGAAGGTAAAATGTGAACACGAAAGATCTTAGTAAATGGAACACAGCATAGAGGCTTAGATCACAATGTGAAACACGAATTGTGCTGAACCGTCGTCTGTTTGTTCTGCATGTTTCCAGCTTGTCGTGTGTGATGCTTGGCGCTGGCCGGCTCTTCAGAGATTAGAATAATCCCACTTGTCTTTGTCTCTCCAGGTTCTCCAGATGGGTTTTAACAAGTTGAGGAACCTGACAGAGGGGATGCTGCGAGGTTTGGGGAAGCTGCAGTATCTCTACCTGCAAGCCAACCTCATCGAGAGTGTTGCACCCAACACCTTCTGGGAAAGCCCCAACATCGAGAACATCGACCTCTCCATGAACAGGTATCACCTTGAGGCGTGTGTGTCTAATGAAAGAGAGAGAGAAAACATGATGTGAAGCACTTAAACAATTAGTTGATGATTAGCCAATTAGGAACCTGAGATATAAATGAAGAGACATTTTAATTATGGTTTAATGAAAGTGGTTTTCAAGATCTGGTTAAATACTGATGCAATGATTTGTTTCTTTTTTTATTATTTGGATAAAACAAGCAATTTAACAAAGGCCATTTTACAGGCATTTCTTAGCAGTTACATTTTAGCTTTAACCTCTAGTATTTCCTTTTTTTGTGATTCGAGATACAAAGTAGACGCAAACAAAATGAAAAGGGCTACTCGCAATCTGACTCGTTCATGTTTCTACGTTTATGATTTGCCGTTCATCGGTGTGTGAATCTTACTAGACAAAAACAGAGTTTAAAAATTCCTAGATAGGAGAATATATTACGTTTTTCAATGTTTAATATTGTACTTTCTGTCAAGATCATGGGCTGCTTTCTAAATGTATTCATTTTGCGCCTATGTTTTGCAGACCTACTAGGAAAAAAGTTTTGCAGGAAATGCATAGATAACTTGTTTCTCACTGACAGTTTTATCAGTAAACTTAAAGGTGACCTATCATGCAAAATGCATTTTTGTACGTCTTTTATACATGAATATGTGTCCCCGGTGTTCCAGGGAACTGACCAAGTGTCAGAAAACACAACCCTCTTTATTTTCCTCCATACCCAAATCTCTTAAAAAGGGGCTGCAACGGATCTGATACAGACTGATCCAGATTTGAACACTTCTATGACGTCACAGAAGTGAAGCTACGGCTATTGGGCCAACTCCACCAATCAGGAGGAGATAGCCACGGACATTGCCGTTCGAAAGCGCTGGAGACGCTGTAGTACATATGCCAGGCCTGTAGATGGTGCTGTTCTCACAGAATCAGCCCATGCAAAGACAGTGTTAAATTGAGCTAAATGAGGAATGGCTAAAATGCATGATCTATTTGATATTTTGAAAAATAAAAAGTATAAATATGCCTTATATAGGTATGGTCCTACACTATATTATTCAAATATAGCATGATAGGTCCACTTTAATATAACAATAACAAATTGTATTCATATAGCACTACCCAAAGGCATATATATGTAAAAACAGCCAAACCTATAGGAAAAAAAGCATAGCAGAAGGTGCAGAGATACCATTTGTCTCACTTTTTCCCCATTAAGCTCTGATGCACCAAGCCATCTTTTCAATATAGAGTGAGGTACCTTTTCTTAGTGGGAATAACCGTTTTGTTCTTACTATCAGCACCGTAACTGGTATTGATCCCTTGACTTAAATGTAAAAGTAACAGCAGAATGGAAGAAGTTGAACTGCTCTTTGGGGCTTGTTGAAAGGTACTCTGGGAAATGTTTAAGACTAGAAACTGAAGTACAAGGAGACTGAGTAACAAGTGCTTCTAAAGGGGAAGCCTGCAGATATAACACATCAAAGTCTGTTTACATGTTTTAAGGATTACTACAGCATAGGTTTGAAAACAGTAAACAAATATATATAAAACCTTCTGTGGCCCCGAGCTCAGTTTTAGAAACTCTGATATATTATAAGTGATGCTGTTTTGTGGCCGGATCCTCACCTACAGTATGTGTGATGCTTCATTAGGTACTAGCAAAACAAATCAAAATCTCTTGCTGTGTCTCAAATTGCTTTCTTTTGTACCTACATTTGCTGTTTAGAGTGCATAACTGCATCCCATGGCAGCATGGGGCAAAATGCACCATTAGTACCTAGATTGTGCACTCAAAAAGGTCTAAAAGTATGCAACACTGGATGCTTTCCACTCCCAAACGCCCTTTTTGGCTAAATACCAGAAGTTAGGCGACGTACAGCAAGTTAGTCTGCTCCAGTAAAAACATCACTATACAAATTAATGTGTCTTTCACTTTTAAAGCAACACCACTATATTGGTGCTGAAAATAAACCACCATTACATTTATTGGGTTAGTTAAGCAGTGTATAATATTTTGGTACCGCGAACAATCATTGCTAGCTAGCTAACAGCAGCAATCGCCACTTCCTGTTGGTTAAAGCAGCCCCATATGATTTAAAACAACATTACATTGTCCCAATGCACGTATTGCACAAGGGTTTACAGTTCACAACATGCAATGTACCAAGAGAAGTATCCAAATGAGACACAGCATCTGACTGAGCAACTGGTGATTGAGTTGCATTATGGGTAATGTCGGAACCAGGGTTTAAAATAGGGAGAAGAGTAAATAGACACTGATTTACTTTGTATGTTATCCATCATGAGTCAGACAGTGTTGTTGCCAGGGGCGGACTGGGACTAATAATCAGCCCGGCTCAATCTCGACTTCGGTACCGCTAGTAAGTTCTCAAGGGGGGGTGCTAGTGACTTATCCGACCGATATGTCCCGAACGTCCCGATGGCCAGTCCGCCCCTGGTTGAAACAGGGCAACGCTTCAAGTAGTCGTTTTTAAGATAGATTGAAAACTGTAATCAGCTATGTGCATGTTTAAAGGTAAAACCCACCTTTTAATCTATGATGTTCCCTCTGTCTCGTTACAGGATCCAGGTGCTAGATGGCAGTTTGTTCTCCGGTCTCTCGAAGCTGACGACTTGTGAACTTTACACAAACCCCTTCAACTGCTCTTGTGAGCTGCTGGGGTTCCTGCGCTGGCTCTCAGCCTTCCCCAACAGGACCAGCGAGAGGATGGTGTGCGACTCGCCTCAAGGATTCTTCGGCTACAACCTCCTGAGCCAGAACCCCCGAATGCCGACCCAACGCAACGCCCTGCACGTGCTCAGTCTTGTCTGCACAGATGATGGTAGCGTGACGTCCTTTTACCCGATTGGTGCGGCAGATTCCACCACCCCTTTACCAGATTTTGCCTCTCCCTGTGGATTGGACGATTGTGCTTCCGGGACCCCTCCTGACGAGGAGCCCATCAGCTTGGGCCCTCTTTACACCGACACCAATCCCATCATGACGCTGAAGCAGGTGCAACATTCGACCGCCGTGATCACGGTTCAGATTCCTCATCCGTTCAAGAAAATGTACATCCTGGTTCTTTATAACAACAGCTTCTTCACAGATATCCAGAATCTGAAAAGACAAAGGGAAGATATTGAGCTCAAGAACTTAAAACCCAACACCGACTACAGGTACTGTGTGGCTTCGATACGAAACTCCCTTCGATTCAACCACACCTGTCTGACCATCTCCACTGGACGCCGGGCCGGGCCTGAGAGGAGAGCCAATCAGTCGTCAGCCACCCACTACATCATGACTATCCTGGGCTGCTTGTTTGGCATGTTAATCTTCCTGGGTTTTATTGTTCACTGCCTGAGGAAGAAGAGGATCATGCAGGCGAAGGAGAGGAAGATGAGCAGGATCCAAAGGACTCTGATCGAGTTAAAGTACGGCGGAGAAGGGGATATAGAGGGAGGAAATGGAGGATCTGTTTCCCAAAAGCTGGGAGCTGGGGAAAGTCTGTCCAGAATGCCCTACCTTCCTCAGGGCGCTGAGATTGATCCGTACAAGCTGCAGGAGGTCATAGAAACACCGGTGCACAAGCCTGCTAAACTGAACTACATGGAGGTGAGAGGATCCGGGATAGAGAGGGAGAGGGAGAGGGAGAGGGAACGAGAGCGAGAAAGGGAGATGTCACCACAGGAAAATCCCCAGGGCTCAGTAGCAGAGATCTCAACCATCGCTAAAGAAGTTGATAAAGTCAACCAGATCATCAACAACTGTATAGATGCTCTCAAATCTGAGTCTACCTCCTTTCAACAGGGCATGAAATCCCCTTCAAACGCAGGCGGAGGGGCTGTTTCTACCGCAGAGCCGCAGCTGGTGCTCCTCTCTGAGCAAGGAGAGAGAGAAAGAGGAAACGAGTTCCTCTCCCCGGTGTATAAGGGAGGCAGAGGAGGGAGAGAGGAGAGGGGGAGAAGCTATCATCATTCTCTGCAGCGACACCACAGCATGGAGGCACCTCCGACCTCCAAAAGGCCCAGCACCTCCTCTTCTCCCGGTTCTGCCCGGAGCCCTCGCTCGTTCCGCTCAGAGGGAGGCTACCACTCGTCAGAGACCCGCTACATCGAGAGGACCTCGCCCGGGGAACGGGGAGAGAGGGGGGAAAGAGGGGAAAGAGGGGAAAGAGGGGAAAGAGGGGGAGGCGGAGGAGAGGCCATTCGTACGGTCAACCCAGCAGCGGCCATCTTACGAGCTGAAGCCCAGAGGATCCGCCAGTACAACGAACACCGTCACTCCTACCCCGGCTCCCAGCAGCACCTCCAGGACCTGCAGCACCACCCTCAGATCCAGCAGGAGCTCCACCACCACCCCGGGGGCCGCAAGCCCTCCATGTTAGACCCCATCACCCTCAGCAGGCAGGCCAAGCAACGGGAGCTGGCCTACTCCCAACTCTCGCCACACTACCCGCTCTCGCCCCAGTACCACAACCTCAGCTACTGCTCCAGCCCCGACGAAGACGAGGAGGACGAAGGGCTCCTGTGCACCCCCACCCTGGGGCTTTGGGAGAGGTTCAAGCTGCACCGCAAGAGGCACCGGCAGGCGTCCATGGAGGACGAGGGATACGTGGCAGCGGGACACGCGCTGAGGCGGAAAGTTCAGTTCGCCAAGGATGAGGATCTTCACGACATTCTGGACTACTGGAAGGGTGTGTCCGCCCAGCAGAAGACCTGATCTGGAGACGCCTAACACTTGGAGGATGGAGAATAACAACACTGCACCCATAACATATTGATACAGATACAAACATGACCTGTAAATACACACACACACACACACACACACACACACACACACACACACACACACACACACACACACACACACACACACACACACACACACACACACACACACACACACACACACACACACACACACACACACACACACACACACAGGATCTAGACGTACACTTATATACACACACNTTTTCACTTAATATAGCTTATTGAATCTGTTGTAATGTGTGTGTTTGGTTGCCGAGGAGACCAGACTATTACAATAAATATTAACCATGTTGTTGCTCTGACTCTGTCTGCTGACCTGCCTGGTGAGGGTCACGCAAGTTTGAGTGTGTGTGTGTGTGTGTAGTCATGAGAGAGTTATTTGGTGATTTTTTTCTAACTCCTAACACCCAGTAAATTGTTCTCCCTGTGTGTTAACTTCCAGCTCCATCAGCAGATTTCTTCTTGGGGAGAAACACAGTTCACAGATGCATGTTGGCAAGATTGATGCATTCACGCCTTTTAAACATTCTTGCTAAAAGCCCTTTTTAGGGTTTGTTTGCACAATCAGATTTTGGTCTGTTTCTGTTGTTTCTTGGTGCAGGGTCTCCGCGGGGTCTTAAAAAGTATTAAAAGTTGATCAATCAATTTAGCGAAAATGAATTCTATTAAAAAGTATTAAACGGCATTTCCCAAGGTATTACGTTTTGTAGCTTGTTTTCAATAAGTATATCAATTGTCCAAAGAGGTTGTATTCTACAGTCTGCCTGAATGTAATCATTGCGGAGGTGTGTAGTGTGATTCTGTGTAGTTTATTTATGGCATCCCGTTGGGTTTGACGTCATCTGAACAGGACATTGCACGCTCACTGCTTGATATCACGCAAAGGTCCGTTTATGCCGGTTGTTAAAGAACATCGTTATGGGGAAATGCAAGTTAACGTCCAAATGGTTGGAAGATAAGGAGAAAGGACAATCAATACTGTATATAGTCAATGTGAGGTAAAGTGTGTCGCCAAGGTAACCGGTTCAAACTCCAAGAGGCGATGAGGTCTTAAAATGTATGGAAAGGGTCTTAAAAAAGGTCTTAAAAGTTCTTACATTTGACTTCAGGATTCCTGCATATATCCTGTATAGAGTTATCGTATTACTTCCATTGTGTAATAACAGCTGGAACTGCCGCGACAGCGACGTAACTTAAAATGACGTCAGCACTGAGATTTTCTGTAACTATCTGTATGTTATCATTTTCTTTTCCATTAACTAAAAACTGCCAGAGCCCATACCATGTTCCCTTTAATGTTTACTTCCTGTCTGTCTTCTTCTGCTGTTCCTGTTAGTGTTGACTTCCTGTTTGTCTTCTTCTGCTGATTTCTCTGACGTCCAGCCCTCTGTCTTCTTACGCCTTTCCTTCTCTTGTGCTGTTTTTCTTTTCTGGTGACACTTAAGCCATCATGGATCCAAAGTTTCTTGCATCCTCAAATATGACAATTAATTATCCAAAAGTATTCCGTGGTGATTTCTGATGGAGAACACTGTTGTTTGTTCTCCACAGCTGACGTTAAATTGACCGAACTCCTTTCTGCGGATTGATATGAATGCACATAGTCCCTTGATCCTCCTTAGCAACATTCTATTCTCCTTAAATAAAAAACATTGCACACCTCTGAAATGTCAACATTTACCAATCAGAGTTTTCAAATAAGCCCTGTGATAATATACTACAAAATATAAAATATAGCAATACAATACCCAAGCACTTCCTCCAAAAAGCTTTGAATACCTCCAGTTACCAAACTGGCACATATAAGTTCACAAACACAGCTTTTCATAACTTCTGTCTGCTGTTCACAAAGGCTTAAGCAAAGCCTTTTTTGAGTACACTGTTTTCCCAGCTGACCTTAAATCACTTGGAGAGCATTAAGAAATCAAAGCAGATGGAAATGTAGAACTTCTCCTCGAAGACATAATCAACAGCTAAATCACCTTGGGCGCAAATCAAATCTGCAATGTCCATTTTCCAATAAAGTATATCCTTTTATGGTTGTTTAACCGCGCAGAGATTTGTATTGCCTTGATGGTTATAAATCATTGACAACAAATAACAGCTTGTGACAGTTTTTTTTTGTTGTTGCCTTGGCTGTAGAAAGTTATGGCTTGAACCAATTTTTCTGCTCTGACTGATTTTCCCCCCATCTGGTTTTTCTAATATGATGCATCTGTGCGAGGAGATTGAAGAATCTGTTGCCATTTTAGGTGTATTATACCCTTTGTTGATCACCCCTTAGACCCGCGATCATTGTGTGGAATGGCCTCGAATGTGTGACGGCAATGATTCAGGCATTTGTTTTAATTGTGCCACCGTAATGATTAAGCAGCATTTGAATGCACTTCGACTGGGTTCTGGAAAGATGGATGGCCTGCAATGCTATCTATTCAAAGAGAGTCAAGTCCTTGGCATCACTGTGGTTCACTGCTGCTTAGATTAACACAAAGCGGGGGGGGGGGTGATTTCTGGGCACTCTCACCTTTTAAAAAACAATCAAATGTAGCCTACAAGTCACGTTCCTCGTCTTGTAGCCTGGAACGCATCTATCGCCCGAGTCTACAGCGAACACTGTTTAACTTGTTCGTTTGCATGTTAATTTTCTCCATTTTTTAATCTTTTTTTCTCAGATGGAAACTGAATGGCACAGAAATCAATCCCAAATCTGGATCCCACTACAGCCTTTCTGGAGGAAACCTCAGAATCAGCCATTTGAACAAAGACCAGGATGCTGGAACGTATCAGTGCCTCGCCTCCAACTCTTTCGGGACCATCGTCAGCAGGGAGGCCAGCCTCACCTTTGCATGTAAGTCTGTTTCTCTCTGCTTCTCTTTGGTCCAACGTTTGTGACTTCTGAGCCTCCACGGAGAAACCGGCTCCAGCAGAGAAAGACACACCAATGAACTAACATGCTGGGCTCTTCTTGATAACGTGACACACATGGAAACATCTCTCTGGGGAAGTATTAACTCCCTCTGTGTGCCGAGTTTAGCCTAAATCGTAAACGCAGATCAAACACAAATCTACAAACAAGTCCAAGTGAAGTGAAGCTTTATGGTAAATCGTAGAAATGCTGTTAGTGCTGCTCTCCACTATTAAAGAACTGGTGGTAGGATAAGTATATTTGACTTCAAGTTGCTTAAATCAGTATTGTTCATATATCCACTTAAACTGCTGATAATGTGTGTGTGTGTGTGTGTGTGTGTGTGTGTGTGTGTGTGTGTGTGTGTGTGTGTGTGTGTGTGTGTGTGTGTGTGTCTCCAGCATGCCTCTTGAGTATGTGCGTGTTTACTTTAGTCCTGGGAGTGGCCATTCATGTTTTTAATAATGCATTAAGGTTTTCCACATCAGAACCAAAACACATATTTGAAATTAACTGACAAAGATTTCTGATATGTGTGTGTGTGTGTGTGTGTGTGTGTGTGTGTGTGTGTGTGTGTGTGTGTGTGTGTGTGTGTGTGTGTGTGTGTGTGTGTGTGTGTGTGTGTGTGTGTGTGTGCCTCTGTCTGAAGCTAATCTTCCATACTACCCATCATCCTAATATTTGTTTATTCTCAAGACCTCTTCTGTTTGCAGCGAATAACACATTTTGGAAAAACCAACAATTGAATTGACCATCAGGCCTTACTCCAAATTTTAGCCACAGAAGTTTTCGAAAACAAAAGCTATAAAACACCTTTACTCTACCCATTTAGCAGCAAACATCACACACAAAACAAGACTAACTGGTGAACATAGAGCAGCATTCAGCAACTTGAGAGACGGACATTTTCTTCTGGAGTTTTTAGAGACCAAAAATGGAGCTAAAAGCACTTCAGAAATTTGACTCCAAGTGAATAATGTTGCTCAATGTGTGCAAGTAGGTGAAGAGGTTATCCAGCATTATACAGAAGCAAATAAATATTGAATGACAAAATGTAATTGACATTGAAGGTAAAACTTATTATTCAGATAATGCGTTTAAGTGTAATCTTATCTGATTATACAGTACAATACGATTCCACTATGTCTGTTCCAAATAACTCTAATATGAACTAATGTTTATATTGGTTGGTTGATTAATTTATAACGTTGCTGTTTTTTGTGTAAAATGTCAATCTGTAATAATGAATAGTAAATTAATCTAATCTTTAACTTTCATATATAAATATGGTGGATTCAAACTTCTGGATTGAAGCGGAGATATCAAGTTACATGAAAAGTAAATGAATGTTTTAATTCCATTTATAACACATTTGAAACATCCATTTTATTAATATTATACAATTCAATTCAAAGAACACCAAACTAAGAAAAGCAACATTCCAACACGCCAAGTCAGCATTATCACTTTTGCAGATTCATATTTTTCTGATGACTCGATTTTAGCGATTTGTGACCGTAGCGATGATTGACTGCTGGACAGATGTTGATGAGTCGAACTGTCAGCTTCTGGACTTCATATTCCTAAAGCACAGGGAAGTCAATATATGCCTACTGTATGTGCAAGTTATCGGACAGGCATAAATGATGACATTAACAGCAAGTGAGCGATCGCTGGCTCTGATTAGATTCTGAGGGTTAGCGTTTGGGGACAAGGCCACCGATATGTCTCAGGGCCATTTGTTTGCACCCCGGGACGAGTGAGAAGTCAATCTACTCTCTGATTCTGCTGATTTCCACGATGATAGGATGACACTTCCATCAATTGTTGGGCTCTGACCTTACCAGCGTTCAGTTGTTGCCACAGACTCAGGACTCATGTATGACCGAGTGTCATCCATCTTCTTTATTACTCGTGGTATTGCTTAATTAACGCCACAGCATGATTGAATGGTGAAGGTTCAAGTGAATAATTTAAGGGCAACTGGTATTACTGGAGAGTGTCATGTTATTCTTTATAGGAAGTTAAGCTCTCTAAAGTACTTGAGTTATTCTTCTGCAGGGAGGCAGGCGGAGGTATTCTGTAACAGTCAAATACACACCTCGCGCAACACCTATCCTATTCCCTACTGTTAACACGGTGACCTTTTGGTGGTAATTAGTTTTACATCCAATGTGACTGTATTTCTG